ATGTTCAGTGTCACACATCCTTATCATAGAGGGGGGAGGGGCCAAGAAAAAAGACTTTTTTCTTCATTGACTTTCGAGGCGCTATAAGTTACACTTTATAAATTCTGATCGGACATTTCTACCACCATATTAAAGAGCATATTAAATACTATGATACTCCGCCACAGCCTTCTGGAGGAGCGCCATCGAGAGATTCTGCCACGCGACCGTGAGTGGGTGCCTGAGTTCAGCGAGATCGTTGATTTCTCCGCCACTGTAGACCACCCTATTGAACTCCGCCCGAACCAGGTAATTGAGGGGGTTTAGGTCAGGTGACCTACTTGGATATTCCATCTTCTTTAGGTACTCAGCCCCCTTCCATTCCAAGTAGGCAAGAGTTTTCCCAACGCCCTTTGATTCCATGTGGTGTCACCCAATCCTGTAGCAGTACAAAGTTTCCAAGAAGGTACGGGACGACATGTGGAGAGGATATTCTTCTCGAGTTGCTCGATGTAACCGCCAGCGCTCACCTTCAGTCCGGGGCCCACGAAGAAAATATCGGTCTCTCCATTCCAGGTACGTCCGGTCCCCACCATCAACTGGCGCCTTGGCGACTGAGGTGAAGATGATGTCCTAGACCGTAGCGACGTTGTAGGAGTTTCGCAGCTGTTTGGAGGTGACATGAATTCCAAAGGTCTTCTCCAGTCAGGCTGCGACTGGAGATGACTTCATATTTTGGTGTACATGAAGGTGATGGGCGAGAGCCAGCTCCTGCTTATCGAGGAACATCTTGGGTATCTTCCGCCCTGGTACTCGTATCCACGTCCTCTGTCTGGGCTGCGAAAACTTTGCTGATATGTGACTCGGTCGAAATTTTTTTGCCCCCCCCCTGTATATGTGCAAATATATTAGGTTGTCCCAAAAGTTCTGGGACACTTTCAAACTTTTTTCCGAATTAAGTTTATTCCAGTGGGAAGCAATTTTGATCAGCTATATATATGTCACCTTCATTGGCAACTTGTTGCCAATCACTACGCAATGTGTGGTTGCCCTGCTTCCAGAAGCCTCTTAGTTCTGTGCCCAGAAAGGCAGCTGGGTCATTTTTGAGGTACTATCAAAAATCGTATTTTTTTACCCAGAAGATGGCCGCTGTGGGATTAGTTTAGATGGCGATCGGAAAGAGCTAAGTCAGGGCTACACGAAGACTGTGGTGGAATTCCCCAGCTAAGCTTCGGGATCTCGAGCAGTGTCGTTTTCCAAATGTGTGACCCTGAGCTGTGGTGGAGTAGGCAAACATTGCTCGGTTTTGGGACCAAATGGTAGAGATTTTCCACCCCACTTTGCAGTTGATTACAATAGGGCTCCCTGGTTACCATAGCGTTGGAAGGAGGGAATTCCGTTTCGAGAGCGGAGAAAGGTACCCCACCACATACACAGCCTCACCGCCCTACTGGATTGATAGGATTGCGCGATCGGTTCTGCCCTTTCTGGGGGATCTAGCCGCTGGCGCTCCCAGGAGTGATTCACCTAGAGGCACCCACTCCATATCCAGTTACAGTGCTGTTCAACCAGCCCGTACAGCGGAAGCGGGAGAGAAGTTGTAGACAGTACCCACATGTGCTCCCCTTGGAGTACTGGTCAACTCATGAGAAAAATTTTGACCGAACTTCAGAACTTTTCTAAGGGAGCGAGGCCCTCTCTCATTTGTGCTTTGGGACCAGTCAAGTGTAAGGACTAGATAGCAAGTTGATTTGTACGAATTGGTTTTAATCAAGGAACACAGTAGGTCCAAATCCAAGGCAGGTGGCCTCCTTGGACGAAGTTTTTCACCCGGATAGAAGTCACTAAAGCAGAAGCAATTGAGCCATTCCAAAGCCGTACTGTGGAAGCTAACATCAAGATCTAAATAAGGGAAATGCCGCTTATGGCTCCAACCACGTTGTGGCTTGGTAGAGATTCATATAGCGAAGTGTGTCGAAAATGATGAATTTCAATTACCGTTTTTCATATGAGAACAGCGACTGCGAGGGACGGTGAAGAAGCTGTGGAATGCTTACCTCACACACTTCCCATAGACCACATAACTGGATCTCGAAATGGCTGCGGAAAAATCTGATACGAGATTCAAAAAGTGTCCCAGAACTTTTGGGACAACCTAATATCTGCTATACCGCTCTAGCCGTAAACCTGTAAATCCCGACTCCAAGAGGTCTACCATTTATCATCGCGAACAAGGCCCACAGCACGTTGAGGATCCCGAAGGGGAGGGGGATCGTGTTTAACTGATGAAGGGGATGGATTTTCCCCTTCGCTCAAGCTGCAGTGATCGTTCGATGTGGAAGGGCATCGTAGTTACCTAAATTTCTTCCCAACGCCGAGATCTGCGCTGATCGAGGAATGTAATAATGTCCTCAGAAAACTGCTCAAAAATGAAGGTTGAATCCTTTTGAGACTTTTGAGTTATTTCAGACTTGAGGAGAAGAGCACTATGCACCGAGAACCCTGCCTCAGTAAAAAAAATATTATTGGAACCTTTCAGGAACTGTTGTGGGCCTTCAAAACCAAATGCTCTATGTCTCCCGTTATTTTAACATATGTTGAGCTATTTTTAAGCTGAAATCCACTTCCTCCGGGGACAACTGCAACACCTATTTTTCCAAGGACATTGAAAGGGTACAACATTTTTACTGCTGTGCTATTCAAGTAGCCAAGCTTAATACATAGCTGCGGAGTTGATTGCTTCCGCGCAGTTTATTCGGTTTCGTTCATAACACCGAATTCCACGGCTTGGTCTATTTCTAGCTACGAATAAATGAGCCTAGTTGGCGGCCTGTTACCCGGCAGAAACCTCAAATCAGGTTCTCCTTGTGTTGCTCTTTTGTTGTGGTCCCAAAGAGATTTTTATCTATTTTCTTGAATTTAGCCTTTGCCATGCATTTTTGAGTACGGCTGATGAATACTCTTGTCACTTAAAAGACTTTTTTAAGCCATTGCCCTTTCCGATATGGAATACGTGATGCGAACGGCTCGATCGGCACGGTGTACAACCAGGTGAGGAACATTTTGCAAGTCTTAAGTATCAAGTATTAATAAACTGATGCCCATTATTAGCCCCTACGCTGGAACAAAGTACCGCTGTTTTTACGACCCTTACAATGATTTCTGTGTTAAAGGGTTCTTGTCGAGTTTCCTCAGCTGCTATCACTTTTTACAATATCGGCAATCCCCCTCCCCCTCCTCCAGCACCGACCCCCATACAACCTAGCAAGCTTCAGTCTTTTCTCTACGGATGCTGGATCGTGTAAGGGAAAAGGGGTTGGGCTGGGTTTGACGTAGTGCCAACCCGTTCTCCACCAATCGTTGAAGCTGGCAAGCAACCACAATTGGTGGAAAATGGGCTAGCGCCACGCCAACCCTGCCCCCTGACTTTTGCACGAGAGCTGTTTTTCATAGAACCGCATGGAGTGAAATTGATAAGAATTACTGCTAGTGAACAACCAGAGACTCTCTGGGAATCGCTGCAAAAGTCCTGCTCCAGGGGAGGATCGAACTCTCGATCCCGACATTTCTCAGTCTCAATATAAGTACCACGCGGCTAATCAGACTGAAACCAATCCCATAGCCGCCAATTCGATCTTGACGTAGCACTTTTCCCTGTAATTTCGCTGCAAAACGCATGAAGCATCAACGGTAAGGGCAAAATACGCGGTTCTCCGGTTGTAATCCGTGCTTCCGTGGCGCAATAGGCAGCGCGTTCGGCTGTTAACCGAAAGGTTGGTGGTTCGAGCCCACCCGGGAGCGAGACTTTTGCATACAGGCTGTTCCTCGTAGAATCGGCAGGTGGACAAAAATTGATGAGAACCACTGCTAGCAGGCTTTCAATTTACGACATTCATACCTTTCCACTAATTTCGCTCTGCAAGACGCGAGTTCGATTCTGCGCCAGCATCAGCAGCACGAGAACAGAAGACTGTACCCAAGACTTTACTGTGCCTGCTGCGCTATTATCACGCTCTATATGGATGACATCATCTACTTTCACCCCACTCCCCCCACTCCCCCTGTTGATATCCTCGTCCTACTTCCCCCTCCCCCTAAATTAATAGCTGGAAGCAAGGCACGTCCGCTCCTGCGACGCACGTTATGAAATTTGTTACACTTGCCTTGCCTCGTGTCAGCACTTGTCCGGCTTGCAGCACATACTGCCACCAACGTCAACATCGTCGTGCTCCGTCCATGCGACGCCCTCGCCTTCTCTGCTGCATATCGTCAGATTCAGTCGGGGCGGCTTCAAGAGGCATGAAATGGGCCCATTTTCTATCACTGATTCTTCTTAGCCTGAATCATAACTAGCCGATCACCAGTGGTAGACAGGGTGCAGCATCGTGATGTGTGAAATGGTGGTGTAGGTACGATCCTCCCCCTTCCCCAGCACCTACCTACCAATTCTCCCGCATTTCCAGTTCCTCACCCAACCGTCGAGCGGAGGGAAGGGAAGCGGAGGGGCGAGGTGTATAGTATATGTATATGAAGGGGAAAATTCACGCGAAAAGTCAAACAACTGAGGAAGATCTTTTCCCAATACAGCAAAATTACTACTTCGCGGCAAACATACGAGGGGCCCTCTCCCAGTGGCCAGACACCGCCCCCGCCTATGTGTGTTCCACACAACGATGTTGTAATCCTGGTCGTAGAAAGCGCAGCCGAGGTGTGAGCTCATTCCACCAGGGTCCTGCCGTTGGAAAAATTTTTGCAGGAATACTGCCGCCTTCCCGTTCTTGGGGTCCCTTTCCAATTCGCCATATTGCCCTACCATCTTTTCAGAATTTTCCCAAACCACTACCATTTCCATAAACTTTTTCGGTTTTTCTTCATGAAAGTGCCGTCAGAAGGGGAGGGGCTGGGTATATCGCGCTATAGTTCACTTGAAAATCGAAAGACCGAGCAGTCCAAAACCTTTTCCTCAAAGGCAATTACGCCCGTTCCTCCACCCGCGCTTGCAATTGTGTACTGTAGCAGAGATGGTTATCTGATGATATAAACCCATAACCCAATCAATGCAATCTCACTTGTTGAAAAGGCCCTCAGCTACTAGCCAAATGTCATTGGTTGTAGTGCTATTTCGGAAAACCAAAAAAAACGTGGATTTTTAGTGTGTTTTCAACAAATCTAGCGCATGATACTTCCTACGGGAAGCACCATAATCTTCCAGTGCCAAATTCTCACAATCGGTAGAGGTTTCTTTCCACTCCTTTCCAGATAACACTGTTCCGTCTCTGTTCAGCGCAAGCGGCTTTGTCCGTAGTTCAAAACTTCTAGATTCAGAGTAAGCACTTCACTGCAATAATTTTAAAGCAATATCCTTTCTTTAGAGATTCGCGAACCAGCTGCACATTTGTTGTTTGTCATTTGAAGTCGGCCGTGACAATCTCTCCAAGGTCAGCACATTTTAGCGCAGCAGGTGGTCTGAGTATACACAATATCAAAAATGTTAGCAAAAGTGAGTTATTTTCTGCTTATCGAATTTTCTATTGAAGGGTAAAAGAAAAGATGGAGTCTTTGCCGTTGGCCAATCCCTTTTTCTAGGATGCGGTGCATTCTAGCCCGGAATCTTGGTGCCAAACTGCCATAGGGGTTAGAAGGCTTAGTTAGTCTGGGCGGGGCCGATCTAAGATCTGACTCCCTTATCCGCGCGCGTGGTAAGCGTGCCACTTGCCATAACACCACCTCAGCCCTTCCTTAGTCTTTATTCAAGTGTACATTCCACAACGTTGGCTCAGCGACACAACTTTCTTGCACGAGTGAAATTGCTGGTCTGTCACACTACCAGTTTACGACCATTCTGAAGGTCAAGACTGGTAAAGAAACTCGCTGAAGCCCTCGTTCACCGAAGTAACTCCACCTCCGAAGAACGCTCTTCAAAGGCAGTTGGCACGATGGTTTCCCACTCGGCCTAAAATGCTAGTAGGGCGCTATGTAGTGGGGAAATGGCGAAAGAACAGAGTGAAACGGTCAAAATCGGCGAAGAAAAAGCCTCCGTTCTCAGTTGATTGAAAACTATTTCGGGACTACTTTTCTGCTGGCATCTTGCCAGTCACCGCTCCAAAGGACGGCCTGCCATATGTAAACCCACATGCACGGCTGCATATGTGTACCCATGTATGCATGCAGCATCACGGCCGCTTCATACCAATCCCTTTGCTTCATAATTTGCTCAGCAAATGAATGAATACGAGCGTCAGGAACGGTCGTCCGTTTGTGGGGGCGGGCGAGGAAGGCGTTTGGGACGGAATGTTGTTGCTCGATAGGGCGTTATAGGGGTACCCTCCTTGGAAAAGGCGCCACGGAATTGTCGAGTTGTCGAGGTCACGGAATTCTGTTAAGCCAGTCGTATAGATCCTACATCTGTATAGCGATTTATCGTGCCAACTGCCTTTAAGCGTGCTCTTTTATCTGTCTGTTTCGCTTCACTGCTCTTTGAGCGCTTTATCTTTCTAATTTCCATTCACTATTCATCTGTTGTCTTGCTCATCTTTATCTTTTATTCACTTGTATCTTTTATTTTCTTTGGGCGCGGAGACGGTGTAGTGACAAGTGGCGCGCTTACCACTCGCGCGGCGCCGGGTTCAAATCCCGGGTCGACTCCCGCCCAGGCCAACCAAGCCTTCTACCCTCCGGGGACGGTAATTGGTACCAGATTCGTCTGGGAGGATAAAACACTGACTTGTACATCGGCTGGCCCACCGCAAGTCATTGTATAGGCCACATCGCATTCAATAAGCCACTACGATTCTGAATGGAAGTAGAATGCGTGCCGCATCCCACAAAGGGATTGATCAACGGCGAAGACTTTATCCTTTATTTTTATCTGATTTTTTTATCCTGACTCTGGGTATTCTAGCAAGACTGGCAATCAAAATAACATGCTCTGATAACACAATCTACCGCGTCACACCGGTCTATGCCATTTTAGAACCAGAAGAAGTGGTAGTATTAAATGTGGGTCAACTTTGTTTTATGGTACGAAAAAGGTTGTCTCAGAAATGAACCCATTTTCAGATAGGAAGACTTGATGGTGTGCCAAAGAAGGATCGTCTCGGAATCCTTATGATTGACTACAGCGGTACGGGTAACGCCAAAGATGCTTTCAAGGTGAGCAGTCTCAACTGTCCACTCACCTCCGAGGACGGTCCTTGCCATGTGCCAGACAAATTGGGTCCATAGGCTCAGTAGCGCACCACTTTCTCCCATTAGCAGTGCATGGGAACGGCTGGACGATAGTGATACCCCGCTCTCCTCCCTCTATATGGCCGGGCGTGTCGCAGCACGGCTGGAGTCGTGATTAGACACCCAGGTATCACTATCCGCCAGCCTCGTTCCCGTGCATATTTTACCTGAGAACCTGGGTACGCCACAGTCCACGGTGATGATGTGGGCAGCGGTATAAGAAGAGATAGCTGACTATTGCGCCTCTCTCATTGAGGCCGTCTAAGCGAGGAGGCATCACTAGTGGGGATGGCAAAGAAGAGGGGGCTAACTCCGCCCATGCAATGAGCGTGGAATGTTTTTTGACCCATGCGAAAAATTACAAAACAGACAGGCATTTAGGTGAACGCTTTTTTTCTTTAAGACCTTATGGGAATTTTCAAGCTGAAAATAAGCGAAGTTTTCATAATTTCAAGCTGGATCCAATCATATGAACCCTTCGGTACCTCGAAATGCACCGCAAGCGTTTATTTCAGCTTGCACTAGTTTTTAATCCGCGCATAGTCATGACCATGGAGTCTTGTCAATAGGTTACTTGTGGAACCGTTTGTCGAAAGTGCACAGTGAATTTTGGCCATATTCACTCTGACAATGAGAGGCATAATGCACCATAATTAGTTACTTGTTCTAAAATGGAAGCAGGGGCGCAATATAGTAGGAAAGAAAACCGCTACCCACTCGCCGCGTATGACTGTAGCTTTAGACACGATCAAGGGCACAGATCCAAATTGGTCATGTGGGCGGAGACAACCAACTATCGTGTCTTCCTCAGTGGTGCACACCTTCTCGAAAGATGGTAAGAGGAAATAGGTCTACGACGATGGTAGAATTTTTGACGATCACCGCACAAACGATCAAAAAGGACTGTTCCTTTAAAGGCAGTTGGCACGATAATTTGGTACTCGGCCTAAAATGCTAGCAGGGCGCTATATAGTGGAAAATGGCGAAAAAAACGAAGTGAAACGGTCAAAAACCTGCGAAGAAAAGCCTTCGTTCTCAATGATTCGAAAAGCTACTTCGAACAAGTTTCCGGTAGGCATCGTACCTACGGTACATGGCTGCACGTATGTACTCACATATATCCATGCAGCACCGCAGCCGCTTCATATCAATCCCTTCGCTTCATATTTTACTTCGCAAATGAAGCAATACGAGCATCAGGTACGGTCGTCCATTTGTGGGCGGGCGGCGCGGTGGGCGTCCGGGTCGGTATGTTGTAGCTTGATAGGGCCTTATAAGGGTACCTTCTCTTGGAAAAGGCGCTACGCAGCGCCTGCTCAGGGGCGCGGAATTCCGTCCTGCCAGGCGTATTAATCCTACTCGTCTTAGGGATTTATCGTGCCAACTGCCTTATGTGCACCACTGGTCCAAAACAGGCCAATTTTGATCGAATTCCTTCCTCCAGGACAGATTCGGCCAAAACTTTGTCCCTTTGGGTCCGCACTTCTTTGCGTACGAGTAGAGAACAAAGTTATATTCCAAGATGGCACGAATGTAATCTATGGACCGTGACTGTGGGAGAACTGCTTTTTGAATCGCTCTGCCATGAGCATTCGTCAATACAAGTTTTTATAATGACTACTGTTTCTTATTTCACGCATTTCCTTTCAGCGCACTGATTTGCGACCGGTGACCGTCAACGTTCCTCTACTTGTCAAGGAGAACTGAGAATTTGATAGATACACTCTGAGCTTTTATGCAATCTTCTACAAACTCTGTTGAGAAGTGTGCGCCTTTGTTGAAGGTTAGTGGGGTGGTGTTGGCTGGGGCGGGGCAGCAGTCGCGTCGTTGTTGGCGGTAGTGCTGCTCCGTCTCCAAACCGACAAGCCTCTTCCTTTGTGCCGCAAACACTGAACTATCGCTGTTTTTTTGTTGTTATCTGCAGTCTTTGCCTCGCAATCGGATAATCGTTACCAGCCCACCATGAATTTTTTTGAAAAGCTGTTCCCGAACTGTTAAGATCAGATTTTCACACTTTTATAACTTCTGAGATTTGAAGAATTAGTATCGTGACAGTGTAATTTTCTTATCTCGCAAAGGTGTGGGCGTTGTACGTTGACCGTGTACATTCCGTTTGTTGCCGATTTTCTGTGCTTGCTGAAATCTTATTAAAATATCCCTCTCTATTTTACAAAGTATAAATTATTTTGTTTACTTCTGACAACTATGTTCTATTCGATTGTCCATACAATCTTGCGGATGCCGGGGCTTGTCAGGGGAGGGGTGGACTTGGCAAGAGCCAGCCCGTTTTCCAGCCGTCGCCTGCCTACATCAACGGTCATTGGACAATAGCCTAACGCCGCGCCAAATCCGGCCCCTTGGCACGCTCCAGCATCCGCAGTGTCATAATAGAGAAGGTGGTTAACGTTAGTCCCATTTTTCTGCAAGTGGTGAAAGTAACGTGTCTTTTATTGTTTAAGACGCATTTATAGTTGTTCATCTGCAGAGCGCTTAGCGGCATTGTCAGGGCTGGGTTTGTGGCGCGACACCAGCACACTTCCAGGAAAGGTTGCACTCATACTTGCAGTAAGGTCCGAGCAGCGTCTGACCAGCGTCTCCCAGCTTCGAGCTGTCCGGCCAGCGTTAGCCAACTAGGAAAGTATAGATATCGATGTAGCGGGTCTACCAACCGCCACCCACGTCTATTTAGCGTCTTAGGCCTAGGGAAGCATACGTATCGAATCTAGCGTTGCAGCGTCCTACCAGCGTCCACAGCCAAGCGGAGTGGAGAGGTATGGGCGGAAGTAGAGGAGAGCGGGCGAGCTGGATTAGTCTACGTGAGATTGCGGCGTGTGCAACTGAGCGCACAATTACACTACATCGCACATTAAATCGCAAGATTCGGTGCTTTAGCAGTTGTGCGGTGCGGTTGCACACGCCGCGATTTCACAACGCCTAATCCAAGCTGTTTGATACCCTCCGACTCCGCAATACTCCTCTACCTCCCACATCGCGCGGGTGATACGGCTGCGTAAACACTGGCAGGACAGCTAGATCGATATCTATGCTTCCTATAGTTGCTGACGCTGTGCGGACGTCGGGAAGGTAGAGGCTTGGTCAGGGCGCATTTGACGCTTCTGCAAAGCATGAACGCAGCCAAATTGTTGTCGCTTGCCCGCTTTAACCCTCTAGCATATAGGATTTCAATATCACAACATAGTTTTTTGTTAGGAGCTACGATGAAGACTGTTACCTAGCAATTCTGGGGCATTCTACAAAATCGAGTTAGTTTGTGCAAATGGGGCATAGCCTCCTAAGTGAGAAGAGCTTTTCGGCACTGTTAGAGATGAGATTTCGGAAAATGACGAAAATTCAATAAACGCCTCAAAAGGTCACTTGGTCGAGGACTGGGCTCAGTGTGTCAGTGTATGTCTATGAGCTCAAAAAAACTTATAAAAATTTTGAATTTGCATCAACTTCCTTACAACATGTCGGAGTCGCTTATGTGTTGGTATGCCAATCTTTTTCAGTGACTGTGAATGTACAAAGTATCGCAAGTTCAAAAAATTACGCAAGCAAAAGTTGTAAAATGAAATTTCAAAAATCTCGACCGCGCCGAAGAGTGGGGTACACTCGAAATCCTTGGAATGCATTAGGGGTGGCTGTATTTCAACTAATGGTAGCGATGGTTGTGTTTTTGGTGAGATATTTTCAGTTTGAGAAAATGGGTTCCTTGTCCAAAACTTAGCAAGATGACAGTTGCTTCAAACTGAAGTATCCCACGAGTTACCCGTCCTACGTCATGTTCACATGCCACGCCTACTCTGTCTCAGGGATAAGGAGTGTAGCTGTCGGACGGGGCTTTCAGTAGTGCCTAGTTCGACGTGATTAGGTAATTGTCTGGTGCAAAGAACAAATTGTCTGTCTGGTGTTGGATGCGATTAAAATGCGGTGGTGGTTTTTTTTTTGAAAATATGTGGATTTGGTGAGAAGTAGTGATTTTAAAACGAAAGCGGTTATATTACCTCAACATATGTCGATGTTGAACTAGAGTTCGAACCCACCCTGCGAACGCTGTAAGTAAGGACGGCTAAGGTATAGAAGGCGCGGCTATTAGCAATACTCCAGCATTTTTATGGTCTTACAATTAGTGGCATACTTACCACCGGGGCGGTCTGGTGGTAGATTCCCGGAGCGGCTCCTGCCCATGCGAACGAGCCTTCTTTCCTACATGGACAGTGAATTGGCACCGGTCCCCCTAGGAGGATAAGAACACTGACATGAACATCCGTTGCCCCCCGCAAGTGATTGTATGGCCATACAACATTCGAGAAGTCACTACGATTTGAGTCTGCGTGCGCGCCCCAAAAAATGACAACGGCGAAGATCCACTTTTGGCTATATCACTAAAATCTTTGTTATTCGCGTCATGACGGATAGGCTAACCATAAGCAATGGAAAGTAACAGCTACAGCATCTCGCTCGGAGGGACGAGAGAAAACGCGCTCCATTTCGCAGAGCCGCATCAAAGCCGCGTCGCTTTTCACGGAAATCTCGACTGCAGTCAGCTGTTCGATCGAAGCGCATGGAATTCTGTTTCTTATCATGCTCCGTTGTTTTCGGACTCTCTCGATGTTTCTCCCTTCCATAGGCCAGTTATCGTTAGTCAGCTTATCAGTGATGTGGAATTTTCGCATAAAAATCATCTGTTACCGCGAATCTCCATTCTGTTTTGCTTTTTATTGCCTGTGGTTTCTATGATGCAACAGAAGTGAGGGCTCACTTCTTTTTACGAGACTCGGTTTACTTGCATAGTTAAAACAAAAGCAGGAACAAGGGCCGTCTTTCTCTGATGGGTAACCTTGTCTTCAGTTGAACTGGATCTCTTTATTTTAATTTATTCATTTATTTCCGAAAGAAAGAATGCCTGAAGGCAGTGTCGAGGGCTCACTTCTTTTGTTTGATTTCCTTGCTTCTTTTAAGTTATTTAAATCTGTTGACATGAAGCTGATTTTCCGAGCTGTTGTATACAGGGAAAGCGTTTGTTCTTCCCGTAGTTGCTGAGGTTGTGTCGTTTTCAGAATGTGTTTAAGTTAAGTATTCGAGTAAAAAGACTACTTGAAATCAACCTAAACTCTAAACACGATGGGCAGCAGTGGACCAGTGGAAATTCCTGCTGTTCGGAAGAAAAGCGCTGAAATGTACCTGCATGATTACGACCTCGATGATGATATCCCAATCGCTTCACCTCCGGTCTGCAAAACAATCATCGACGTTGACGATCCCGTTGATGCTCTCAGTGCCAATAGAGAACAAACTAGACTAGTGGCTGCAGGATGTCGTGGAGGTAAGCAGTACCCTTTTGTTGTTTTATATATTGTTCAATACGTCCATCGTAAGCGTTTTAACTATAGTAGGAATCTGATCAGGCGGTATTCGGCTTAGGCAGCGGCATGCACGTTCGCTAGTTCATACTGCCCCTACGTGTTAACTAAACTGTAAGCTCTTGCTAAGCAGCGAAATTGGGTAAGCTAGCCCCTTTTGATTACAGCACACCTTGGTTACTGCAACTTGCAGATCATGACGGGATGGCTTCTATAAGCATCGCTAGACACCATTAGGTGCCCCTCTGAGTCAAGCTGCAGCACTGCTTTTCTAAAAATCAACCAGGAATCAATTAGAGAGGCCGCGTTTAATCCTTGTGATCAGTGCAGAATCGAAGTATCTGCGATTACGTGTTTTCTTTCTCAGCGGATTACATACCTATCGATTGGGCTGTAGCTCTGCCGTTGGGAGTTAATCGATACGTACCGAGTCTTTTTCATGAATTCTCCGGTGAGGCAAAGTATAAACCGAGTTAGAAGCGCAGCGTCCATGGTGTCGAATGAAGGGGGAGGGGGCGTGGTATAGGTACGCTTCGTTTCGTGAATATATGCGTCTCCTCGCGTACTACTGCCATTCCTTTTACTATAAATTGACTTCCCACATGCTTCACTGCTGCGGTACTTTTTGAAGTGACGCAGTGACGCTTGCAGGACATTCTTTTTTCACTCTGATAATTTCAGGTGAAATTAAGCCTCTGATTAGTATTAAGCCCTTATAATCAGTGCTTTTTCGGCAACGACTTTCCCATTCATGAACTTTCTGAGAACGTTCTTTCCTATGTAAGTGCTAATTTCTTCTGCCATGCGAGGTTGTTAGGCGGAACTTTTATTAATTAGGCCTACGGTGGAACCGTTGGTGAGTTTGGATTCACGTTATTGTCGTCTCTCGAGGGTTCCTGACACGATGTCGGAACCGCTAGAGTTGACGAGGCGCTTGGTGGGGTAGTTTGTAAATCAAGACTTGAAACATGTTCAGGCCTCTGAAGACGACGAACCAGTCGAAACGTTAGGCCTAATTAATGTTCCACCTAACAACCTCGTATGGCAGAAGAAATTAACACTCACAACTAACATGCCGAGGTTGCAAGAAGAGAGAAGCTGGAGAGTCTTACGAACTGTTCCTTCCTATGTTTCGGAGGAGTTGATAGTCAATACCCTCGACTAGTTGCGTGGAGTTAATAAGTGGGAACAACTGTGTTGCAATTATATTTTTCATCTTTGTCATGTGTGGATGATGCTTAAATCCTACTTCAGTGCTGAAAGTCTTCAAAATGGACGAGGATGGTTTGGAACAGGTTGCCGATCTCAGATCTGCGCGTAGTCGTCGCCTTAACTTGCTGTATTCCCCGAGTAATGTCGCTTGGAGTAAACTTAAAGGTAATCTCCCTGACCCTCGTTATCATACATTCTTCTTCTCATCTCAAAGTTCTCATCTATCCAGATCATTTGGTTGCTACAACGTCTAACAACGGAGCTGTTGTGTTGTGGAATGTTCTCAAAGGAAAAATAGGTCTGCTACGATTAGACCCTTCTTGATTGGCCCTATTTCACCCCGTTTAACCCTTGTTTTCAGAGATGCATTACAAAGCGCATCAGCGATCAGCTACGGTAGTCCATTTTCACCGTTCTAACGAGAATTTACTGGTTAGCGGATCAAGAGATGCTGCTGTATTTCTGTACGACCTTCGTGAACAGGATCCCGTGAAGAAGTTTGGGTCAGTACGCATGAAACAGGCGCGGTTTTGTAGCACTTGACGCTTAGGCTGCGTTTGTACTTTCCAGAGAAGAGCGCCTTCTCATGGATCCCTCATTCTCTCGATCAGTATACACACCTTTGTCCGCGATTCTCCGGGATCACAAACGGCTCACATTTGCAAAGTATGAGCGCGGATTTCCCTATCGAAGTACTGTAGGCTGCAGTGCTCAGACTTGTCGGATGAACCGTTGCAGGGAAAGGGGTAGTTTCCTGCCGGTATCTTATGCACGTGGCACGTAGAAATCCCCAGCGAGGAGTGGTCGTATTTGTGAAAGATCTTTCCTCTTGCTTATCACTTTTCTTCGCTTTTCTGCAACTTCCTGATAGCGGTGGAGAATTGGGAACATTTAGGATGAGAGTAACTGTGATGGGGGATGGGGAAGAAGGCTCGTTTTGGAGGAGAAATTTTGAGTGGGGAGAATCGTATTTTGCGGTATTTTCCCCCAGGACGTGCTCTGCTGGTATCAGCTAAAAAAATTATCCAATGCTATATTGAACAGGGCTTGTTATGGAAATCCTGCGTGTGGTTGAGGTACACCTAGCACCACAGTATTACCAGTGTAATGATGTTACCCTATCTTTTCGCTTCGAAAGATTCTAAAAATAAAGGGTAAATCATTTCCAGACAGGCGAATAGCGTAGTTGGTGAGGGCAGTGCTTGGACCTTTGTGTAGCCATGCACTCCTTTGATTTATTTCTGTTCCAATACGTAAGCTTGTTCAAGCTCATCTCACTTTTAGCGGAACAAATTCATATGACGTCATTCGTGATTTGTCGTTTTGCCTTCATCAAGATCAGCACGATCAGTTTGTTACCTCTGATGACAGTGGAACAATTCGCCTGTGGGACACAAGAAAAGGAGACAAGTAAGTGCGCTTGTTTCACTCAACCGAAAGTTTCTTTTCTTTTTTGTACGTTTTTAAAGTATTCGTTCAATGAGCAAATTCGAGATTTGGATTATGTTGGATTTTGTGTACAGTTATACCTTTTTAATTTCTTCTGAAAGTTTTTTTAGCCTGTTTTCTTTTTTCTCATCACTTGATTTTTCTCGTGGATGTGAAGGTTTGAATCCGAAAGCTATGGTACTAATACCGATGCAGTTAGGCTTGGTGGGGCACCGAGAGGTACCCAGCGAAGCCTTGTAAGAGAGAGGTAAATCCCTACCAAAGTAGCTCTTTAGTAGTAGCAGTCTCATTTTGCAGCTTAAAAACAGTTTGCAAGTTCCACCAAATTGAAACCTTTAGTTAAAGGCAGTTGGCACGATAAATTTCTAAGAAGAGTAGGACTGATACCGCCTGGCAGGATAGGATTCCGCGACCCTAAGCAGGTGCTGCGTAGCGCCTTTTCTGAGGGAGGCACCCTTAAGGGCCCTATCGAGCTACAACATTACGACCCGAGCGCCCACCACGCCCGCCCGCCCACAAATGGACGACATACCTGCGCTCGTATTGCTTTATTTGCAAAGTAAAATATGAAGCGAAGAGATTGGTATGAAGCGGCTGCGGTGCTGCATGGATATATGGGAACATGCATGCAGCCGTACCCACCGTAGCGGTTATTGGCAAGATGTCTACAGAAAACTCGTCCGAAATTGTCATTAAGGACGAAGGTTTTTCTTCGCAGGTTTTTGACCGTTTCACTTCGTTTTTTCGCCATTTTCCTCACTAACCTAATGAACTGGCGCTTTGCTAGCATTTTAGCTGCTAAGTAGAAACCATTGCGTCACTGGCTTTTGAACCAATGAACCCAATGAAATGTACTAGTGAGAGTGCACAGCGTCCATTGAAGCCGAGCAGCGCCATAATAACTGTACCGATTACTGCTGAAATATCGCTTCTGTGCTGTACGGCTAATTAGACATTCGTTGCCATGTTATAGTTACTGAAAACTGGAGCAGCTTGAGGGTCACGGGATACCTTGTTAAAAGATCTGGCGGTGTTCACTGCTTTCGCTTGCTCTTTGCTCATACCTGGATATCATGGTCTTTTGATGTACATGTGCAGCATTTGCACGGCCAAGCAAGGTGAGTATCAGCAGGGCTAGAAACAAGGAAGAATTACAGAAAAAACATCGATATTTTTCTTTCTGACCAGGTGGACTGGGAGTTCAAGCTGATCCGCTAATCTGAAAACAATTTTTTGGTCTAAATTCTTGTGCAATAAGACCATGGAGTGTTGTGAGAGCGACAAGAAAGGGGGGGGCTTGTTCGAAATGTCAGGTGTTATGCTACTGCCGAGGAGAGTCGGTGAGGGAAGTAAGGATTCCGGGGACTACAAGTGTAAGGATGCGTAAGCCCTGATTCCCCCTCCTGATCTTCTATTCGTTACTCCTTCTGCATTGATTCTTCTTTGTCTAAGGGTGTCGTAGTATTGTGCACCCTCTCTATAGCTGTTATTAGTTATAGTCGAAGTTTTTGTCAAAATTTTATCTCACGACCTCGTATTATAAAAAAAAACTGCTCGTCACAGTCCTTTTGTCACAAGTCCCATATATTCTCGTTCTTCTTTGTAGTAATTGACTTCTGACTACTTGTCATGTATATCTGTTATTATACAGAGAACAAATAGTTCAATCAATCCTCAACGCCCAGTTAATCCCTGTCTTCTGAGTTGTAAGCCGAATTTGTTCACAGGCTCGCGTGAACGATGAATCTTCCATATTCTTCGAACCCGGTTCCCGTCAGTGGGGATGTGCGCTTTAAACGTCTAATCCATGGCTCGTCATTAAGCCATCTTCATAAATTGATTACCATAGGGCTGCATAATCGTTGCGCGGCATAATTAGCCACACCGAGTACATTATTGGCTAAAGTCGCTACAATTCAGTATTCGCGCAGTTGTACCTAGTAGGATTCACTATCACCACTATGTTAGTTTATTTCTCTCAATTCTGCCTTTTCTTTGCATTTTGCCGCTGAAATGGCTTGAAATCTCTTTGCTCATTTCCCACTCTCGAACTAGAAGGTTACGGACAAATCATCTTTCATTTTACCTGGTGGTTTATTCCTGGGATGTTTCCTTACCACATTTGATCATTTTATTTTGTTTGTCCTTGTGTGTCAATTAGACTGGCGCGTCATGTTCAAACTGGCTTGTGGAGCGGATCTAGGCTTTAGTTTCGGTTGTCTCAATCTGGTGCAGTTGAGGGTTAAATGCATATTGATGATCTGATTGTCTCAAATGGAAAATTGAGAAGAAAATATAGAATTGTTTTGCGATCTAAAGCACAAACAAGATAGCACCATTGACAAGATTCTCTAGACCAACAGCAATTGAGTTCTTTTCGGTGTTTCTCCGATTTTGCCGTTGTGTGAGGGTTGGACATATCAGTGGAATAGACCAGATATGCTCATGCAACGATGTGGCGCACTTTGCCGATGGGGGAGGGAGGGACAGGGGGGCATTTTGCTTTTTCGCTGCTTCACTAGTTCTGGTTTACAAGTCTCTCTGGTGAAACCTGTGAACTCCTGTAAAAAGCTGGAGCAGGCTCGTCAAGCCATCATGGTACAACCTGTCAAATCGAGAAGAGGCTGTCTAGATGGGTCGACATGTTGATGGAAAGTCGTTAAAGTGCAAAATGCCCCCTCCCTATCGCCAAACAGCGCCAACGATGTTATGATAGCAGATGTTCTATGCCCAAATGAAGAGAGATGGTCTGGTGATGCGGCCCGACTCCAGGCACACAGGAGCATAGGGAACCCCGATCCCCTAGCTCGGAATCAGTGCTTATCTCTTGCTTTTCAAGGATTGTTGGCGTTATTTTCTGCAGAACACGAGGGTGTCTTAAATAAATTTAATTGTGAAGAAAATGAAGCACATCAATGTTCTTGGGTGGTGCGCTGTTTTAGACGTGGTCCTGATATGACTAGGGGACCATCTTGCCATTAGTGCGTTTTTCTTCGGACTATTCATCTATGTTGATTTCTCAAATGATTCATCCAGATACCAGCTGTTGACTGGAAATGCAACACGAGCATATTGCTGCAAAGGGTATCCATGGAGAAAAGCATTTTCAGGCCTCTGATACAATTTCCTGCTCATCAAGGCTATGCGGCAAGTATTGCACTCAATCCACGAGAGAACGCCATCTGATTGCTTCTGGTGGTGGCAGAGACAAGTTCATCTAAGGTATTTCTTACCTATGATTGCAGTTTTGTTTCTCGCTGGTACTAGTGCTAGAATAGCAGTATTTTAATGTTTCAATAAGCGTGTTTTACTAAGAGCCAGTGTTTACTCAGATCTGGAATTGGTCGGGTGCTCGTCCAACTGCACCGACGTATCAAGTAGAGACAATGGCACCAGTTGGGCGTGTTTATTGGAGTATAGACCGAGAATAGCCTTCATGACTGCCGAAGCACAAACATGTTAGAGCCGGATCCGTCCATATTTTGCTTAGCATTGTACATTTGGCTATATTGCTGAGATTAAACGGGACGTTGTGCTGACTCATTCGAGTTCAGGCCCTTTTAGTCCGCCGATGCGGGGCGTTGGCACGAGTTTCAACTGAAAATCTCTATCCGTATAGCGAGGCTGCGTCCTACATTGGTTCAGCGTTTTTGAGGGTTTACTGTTTATGTTTTGGGTGGTAGCCACCGCATCCTCAGATCGCTGGCTTACGCTCAAAACGGTTTCATGTGCTTAGAACGCTGACGCAAAGTATGAAAGCACCTGACGTCGGTGTTCATGATAAAATTTCAGTTGTGAACGATATGAGTGTGCATATATGGGACATACGGCGGCCGTTCTTACCATATGCTAGCTTTGAGGATCACAGTGACAGCGTTACCGGTGAGTATTTTCACTTATTCTGGTGAAGTGGTTGGTTGAGGTAACCCTTAAGCCATACCGTACCGTCTGGAACAATAAAAAAATCGCAGAGGTTTTCCAGATATGTGGTGGAACATTCAAGACCCAGATCGAATTGTTTCATCTGGCAAAGACGGACTATTAGTGCTTCATCATATGGATCAGAAGCAGTCCCCGTTGTCGTACGCCTGTGATATGGCGCTAGACCTTGCTCCTGATGGTTTAGTTGGAGTTGCTGGTAAGATAAAGCTGGTAGTGCTACAATGAACCTGCTGAAATAATTCATTTCCAGCAAATTCTCACATTCCGATAATAAGCATCAAGAGCTGTATATGGCAAGAAAGGTGAGAGACTTTATCTATACGTAAGAATGGGTAATATGTTTTTGGGCTTGTTCCTCTGCTGACTTCTAGCATTTACATGTACTTTGGGGCTTTTGGGTGTAACTGCGTACACAGGTGTCAAAGGGTTTCCTGCCACAGACTGCTCTGTCATTTTGCTTCTGAAATCTACTTTTCGACAAGCGG